AATAGTTTACACATTGCCTTTACCAATTCGCATGAAACACAGAGTAATGAGCTTCAAACATGAAAACATGTGAAATAAAAATGCAAACATGTTTCATGAAAATATACCATTACCACCCCTGTCTAAGCAGTACTCTACCACTTTGACATGCAATTAATTTATTCCTCATACATATCACTACCAAAAAATTATGTTTCTTCAAATCATAAAATTGATGTTATCCTTAAATATTAGGGTCAGTTGTGAGCTAAAGTTAAAAAGTCCCTCATCCAGATGGGGAAATGCAAAAAAAGCACTTTTTCTATGAAAAGTTGATTTTCTTATTAAATCCCATTGGCCATTTCTTCAAATAAGTTTTATTCTTATTCTTCCATGTGTAATTTCACATGAAACGAAAACAAAATCTATACATGTATAACAACTGCAACAATAGTTCGTCTAGACAGAAAATCATGCATCCAGTACGCATGAACGCGCGGCTCAACGACAACAATTCTAACATGTGGCAAAATTTGTATACATGTATTTTCTGTCCCTTTATTATAAAGTTTTAATCACAACCTTCCATACACTACTATTTATTTTTTAACTTTAAGCAACTTGGCCAAATAGTTTCACAGAAAAAAAGTAAGATATTGGTTGTCATTGTTCATGCAATTGTATACTTTGCTTTTTAATGACTTTTAAATTTTCAAAATGATTAAGTTTCCATGTACTTTAAATGAGCCAACAATACCAATTCCAACATTCCATGTTTAACAAATCATGCAAGTCTATGAAACTCATTGATTCATGAAAAATGCATTGAAACTGGGTGTTCCAATTTTTACATCAAATTTAGTTAATTCTTCATTTATATCTTGTGACTAATGTATCTACCTGTAACTTCATTTTCATTTAGCTTAAAGGTGAGTTTTAAAACCACAAAAAAATAGGAATATTTATATATTATTTACGATCAAATTCTTACGTATTGTATTCCCTAATTCGGTTTGACGGAGACGTTTGAAAGCAATTATATACCTGAATGGAAGAATGTTTGGTTCAAATAGCTCCACAATTATCAATACTTCATTACATATATTAAATAAAGAAAACTTAATTTGTACTCTGTGACATCTTTTCAAATGAGCAAAATAGAAAGAATTATTAAACATTTCCATTACATGTGGGACACGCTTCTTAGATTTCTAATTTTAAACACCCATAACACCAAAATGCTATAAAACATTATTTATTATAATTCATGAATGAAAAAATGTATCAAAATTGAAAGACTTCAAATGATATATAATTCATCTGAACATCGAAAATTTCTGTGCACTTTTTTTATTTGCAGACTGCACTCTAGAATGACTCATAAGCATAAGATGTTACTTTAATATTGCTTAGATACAAAATAGCATTTGCCTGTCATCTTTATAACAGGCCACATAATATCAATGTTCATCCCATCTTTAACTAATACTTCTAAATATCCATGAAATATTTGCCACTCAGGATATAAAGGAATCATTAATCACAACTTTAATAATTTAAATGAAGAAGAAAAAATTCATTATTTACTAAATCCATCAACGCCTTTACAAACAAATAAGTTAGGATCCTTCTTGAAAAAGTCATTAGAACTGAGGGCAGGGGACTCTTAACAACTTGTTTGTTTTTATAAATTTTGATGCCGTTTTTATTGTGTTTGTTTGATATGTATGTATATATGTTTATTGTGTTAATACATGTTGGTCACAAACTGTAAAGTTTATAAGACAATAAAATATTTGATTTGATTTGATTTGATTTATTAATTTATCAATTATTGATCCCCATTACATATTATGCTCTACATGTATATAAACTCATCATAGATAAGACTTTCACCTTTCATCTGATACCTTATATATTACTAAAATATGCTAAATAGTTGAAGATTTACCCTTATGCGTAGGAATTATTTTGTTTTAAATATGTACTACTTTCCAGTATGTTCTTTTTTGACTGGGCCCGATTAGGTGGTGTTACATCTTACAAACATGGCAAAGTCTATCCAAATTATTTTTGCAAAGAATTCCGCTCAAGCCAGTGCTAGGGGCCGTCTTAAACTTGCAGTTAGGTGATAGTTATTTTGCTTCGTGTTGAAGGCCTCACTGTGACTTTGAGATGAAGAACAGCAATAAAAGCGACGTTTCTTTGATTTTTGTGTGTGTTTTTTTTGCTGTGCATGAACTGATTTTGTGTCATGGATGGTAACCCCATATCCTTTGTTTTTCTATTAAAATTTTGTACGCCAGGTGCGTGTTTCGTCTATATAAGACTCATCAGTGATGCTCGAATTAAAAAAGTTAAAAAGGCCAAATGAAGTACAAAGTTGAAGAGGACCCAAAATTCCAAAAGGTTTTGCAAAATACAGCTAAAGTAATCAATTCCCTGGGGTAGAAAATCCTTAGTATTTCGAAAAATCCAAACTTTTGTAAACAGTTACTTAGTACTTTTAGTTGTATATTTCATTTCCCATTTTCATATTTTTCTTAATCTTTTTTTTTTTGAAAATTATGCTAAAACAAATGTTGTTGTAGTTTTTTTGTTTATACCTTTACTTGATATTTAACAACCCAATCTTTTTAAGAAAATTTACTCAATCATACACAGAAAGATGTATTCATTTAAAAAAAAATTTCTCAACTTTTAAGCAAGCAACTACAGTGGCATTTTTGGATGAGTCTCTTATCTCCAAAAACTTAAAGACTGAAATATATATAACAGTATATCTTGTTAAAAAAACTAATTAAGATAAGTTATAATCAAATAAAAGTCAGCAAAAGTTACATCAACCAAATGTTTATGTTGATAGCAACATACAATTTTTTTAAATTTTAAGAATGTTTAGGTTTTCAGTTTGATTCATTTGACATACAAGATATTTTGAATTTAAAATCAATTATTTATTACATAATTTCATAAATTCTATTGATAAATTTATAAGCTACTGGCTTCTATGGATAACATTTTGAGTTTTATTTTTGTAAGAATTATCAAAATTTCTTTTTCTAAAGGCTTTTAACAATGTAAAGATAAGCTAATTGTAATTAGGATTTTATTATTTATTAAATCCATACCTGTGTCATTTGAATAAATAGCTAAAAATAACATATAAAATGTAAATTTCACAGGACCTGGTCAGTATATCAACAATAAAAATCGATGAAATGTAGTTTATCATGTCAGTTTACATCAATCTTTCTGTAAACTTATCTATAATTTAATCAAAATTAATTTATTGACAAGCTCATTGCTAAACAACTTCATTAGGGATAAAAATTGTATCAAAGACCACCATTAATTGTCAATTCTGGAATGGGAAATGAAGCTACATGTATTAACAAGATTCAAAGTATTGTCTTCGGAAATATAATCACTAATCAAAGAGAATTGGACAATTGTGTCATTCAAACAGAAACCAATGACCGTTGGTAACAGTATTGTTTATCCTTGCAATACCATTATAAAAGAGGGTTTCAATAATCTGATTATGTCGTTATTAAATGGATTTTTTCAGAGAAAATGATTTGCAAATCAATAGATGTCCGTTTCATCAAAGATGCTTCTCCCTTTATTAAGTTTTTATCTGTTTAATCTAGAAATTTTTGTATTTGTTCTGACTATGTGTTAGTGTCATGAAAGAAAGAGGAAAGCCGTGTTTAAATGTAGATAAACTTTTCTCATGTTATAATATTGATTTAGACATGAAATTGTATAGTAAACCAAGCACAACTTTTTAATACTGTTGAGATTTGAAACAGATTCCTTAAATTCTTTCTTTTTATTTTTGGAGTGGAACAGAGACATTGTAAATGGGGAGATTAAAAGTCTTAAGACAAGTTTTTAATATTGTCGAGATTTCAAACAGATTCTTTTTCTTTCTATTTTTTGAGTGGAACAAATAAATTGTAAATGGGGAGATTAAAAGACAATTTTTTTTACATTGTCGAGATTTGAAACATCATTCCTTTTCTTTCTTTTTTGCTTTCCGAGTGGAACAAATAGATTGGGAGATTAAAAAAAGATAGGGACCAGAAATCATAATGCAGTCCAGTCTGAAAGATTTTAAGTGCATGTTGGGTAATGACAAGTGCAATTTTGTAATGATATCATTTAAAATCTTGTTATCGTTACGATACAATTGTTATTCAACATAACAAGTATTTGTTGAAGATTGAAGAAGGCCAAAAGAATGACAAAATATCATAGAGAAATTCTGAGAAGTAAACCAAAAGTTATCACAAACATTCCTAGACGGCTGCACCTAACTTATAATAGTTAGGTTACATATTTTGTTAACTGCATAAAGCTCAAATATTCAATGAAAATTACAAATTTACATGTAACATTACATGACTTTAAACATGTATTTCTTGACCCTTCATTGCTTTGAACCAATAAAACTTAAAATATAAAAAAAAGAAGAAGATGTGGTATGATTGCTAATGAGACAACTCTCCACCGGAGACCAAATGATATAGAAGTAAACAACTATAGGTCACTGTATGGCCTTCAACAATGAGCAAAACCCATACTACATAGTCAGCTTATAAGGCTTGTGGTCATGCCAGGGCCTTTAAAAGCTTGTTTTATAGTATGGCTTTGATTATTGACATTTTTAAAGGCTGTGACTTATGGTTGTGAACATCTTCATTCGTTCTCTGGTTGATAGTAATGTCTCTTTGGCAATCATAACACATCTTTTTTTATATTAATAAATATATTTTGTACTTTTCAGGGTCTAATTTGCAACAGTTAAGAGCAAATGTATATCTTAAGTTTTATTACGTTTATCAGCAGGTATAACAGTGCAGAACTGCTATTGTTCACATGCCTATAACAAATATAGTGGCCAAACCAGTCAGCAAGACTTCCATTTAAACACCTTACCTGTGTATTTTTCCTATTCCGTCAATCAGGGGGGTCAAATGGAAGTCTTTCTAGAACATAACATCTCTGACACATACCTTAGATAATAAATGCGTCCCTGCTCTGCCACCAACTTTGCCTCCCATTCATCGGGTAGTTCATTGTTAATCCTTTGCAGTATATTATCACAATGCGACATAGTGATGGCATAGTCGGAGTTTACTTTGTCAATCATATGTTAGTCTTGACATACAGATGACATGGGAAATATTCCAGATTATCATGAAGTTAATACTTAAATCCAAATAGAAAAATCCTACAATAAAGAACAGAATGAGATTTTGAAAATTTTGCTAATTCAAAAAACAACCTAGGTATTTAAATAAAATAGACTTTCTTATATATACGTGTAAAATGTCAAAAAATCACCACCTTAAGTTCTAAAACTACATGTAGGTAATTTCTCTAGACATTCTAAAACCTCCTGTTCATTCATTTCATTCTGTTGGTCTGCCCAAGGGGAGGATTTGTATTGTAAGTCTTAATTACTATACCTTGGTCTGCCTAATTAATGTGTCTTATTTTGGAGTTTTTGTAAACTTCAAAGGTGTTGCTGTCTCAGGGACATACATGTTCGACACATATCTCCTTTTGATTGTTTATGTGATAAAACTGCACTGACTTTTACATACATTGTACTGATCAAGCTGCTGTTCAGTTAGTCTTTCCAGTAATAATAATATTTATAATAAAAATAATTTCATTCAGGTAAATTGTACTATTTAAAATCAGAAAGTGCACTCAGAACTTTTAGATACACATAGTAGCTAAAATAATAGATACATTTGTAACCATTATAATCATAACACCTACAAACTTACATAACATCTGTACACATGGTACAGTTAAAAAATAAAGTAAAAGTATAATAAATTCAAGTTAGTTTACCTAAAGTTGACTAGTTTGAACAGGATATTCCACAAAAACTATTAAGCTTATTTCCATTGAGCTTCTTATTCATTAAGCTTGTTTCCAGGTATGGCCAGAAAGCCTGCTTCACTTTCACATACTTTAAGAAAAACATCAAAGACCATCCAATCAACTTATTCAGGTAATAAATACAGTTGCCCTTCCAAATCAGCTGTTGATAAAGTAATGTGTATTGTAATTTTGAGTATTACCAACCAATGGCCCATTAAATTGTTAATTAACACATCGTTGTTGTTAGAAGCGAATCTTGCCTAAGGCAGCATGAAGATATACTATTATAAACTACTGTCAGAAATAATTCACCTGGCCATAAAAAGCACATGTTTCAGGTAATCTGTGTCAGAAAATACCTGTAAAATCATTAAATACCTAATGAATGTAATAATTACGTCTATCAATTAAATATGGACATGAAACATAAACCAAACATTACTTAAATACACAACTTTGGAAAGTTTCTTTAAAAAATTGATTATTTTTTCTCTCACCTGTTTCGAAGTTTATTCCATCAATGCTTTATTTTTGCATTTTAAATAAATGTCCATTTGCTATATTTCAAATTTTGAAGAAAATATCCAAATTTGTTATTCAACATGTTTTAAAAAGTATTAGATATTGTTTTTCATGCACTTTTTCTTCTGTTGACAGGTTGAATGAATTCGTGTGTGAACGAGTACCTGTCGTGTGACGTCATTGTCATGTGACTAAAGAAAAAATGGGCAAACGGAAGTAGATTTTTGGAAATATCAACAAACAGTTACATTCGAAAATTTTGTTAGGTATCAATGAAATTAATTATCAATTAGATCTAGGAGACACATTTTGTACTAAGCCTTTTGTCTTCACAATAATTTTGTTACAGAAAAACGATTTTCCTGACGGAAAACGTGATTCAGAAATCACATTATTTATTCAGGATCTCACTTCTCACATTGTTACTTTGAAAATTTCTAATACGGTTTCTATATTGCCACCTCATCAACTTGTTTAAAACAGTTTTATTGTAGAAAACAGTTGCTACTATATGACATAACAGCTGATAAGGTACAATTATTTTCAATGTACATGCTAAAAACACTTGTTTTATGTGCTGGTCGAAACCCCTTAACCGAATCCAGTTCGTTCGCCCTGATTCGCGTTCACCTTAATACCTGTATGCCCTGGGTCCATTCGCTCTGATTTTTTTTGTTTGTCTTCTTGTATAATGTTTATGTTTTGAAAAGAGTATGATAAAGTTTGTTGAAAATTTCGCAGAATATTTTGTTGTATTGCCATGATTGCTGCTACCAAATAATTATTTTCCTTTGATCTGCACTGTAGAGTACCGTTACTCAGTACCAGGAATACAAGGTATTTAATATAAAACAACTGAAGGCCATGTTATCTGCATGTATTCTTCTTCTTCTATACGTATTAACTTCCAATTATGGAACACCTACTCATTGGAATTATTTCCGGATGAGGAGTTATAAAAAGTTTATGTTGCACACATAAAAGTTTATAGTAAAACTAAGAATATATACACTAAAATCCAAAGTTCAGGGATTAAAATATAAAAACAAAAAAAACAAAAAACAAAACGAAATCACTTAACTTTATACAAGAATAAAAAAATAAACGGGACACCCCTGCCTCTACCTTATCACATATGTACAACAGCTCATATCACAAGTGTTCAATATATACGGGTTCACTTTATTTACAGTTAATTGGACAGATTTATGATTTATCTTAATTGGTAAATTTATACAATTTCAAAATAATCATTAACACTAACAGTTAACTCATAACAAGATGACGCATCACACACCAATTATGTCCTTAATTTTTTACACTATTATTTTAGAGAGCACATATATAGGAAATGTGTCAAAAAGAACTGGAGATCAAAGAAGCAAAGCTGTGTGCGAAATAAAAATCCCTTGTATGTCTTACAATTCGTATACGTTGTTTTTACTCATTCCAAGCTGACTAGTTTATTTTTAAAAAATGTTACCATCATTATTAATCCAACAAAGACAATTAATACAAAAATAAGTGAACTCAAAGATATCATAGTTATATACCTAATCAGCATTCTAAATTACAATCAACAGTCATTAAAATAAATTCTAAATAAAACAAATGTAAGAATGAAGCCCATTAATGACATTAATGCTCCAAAACAAGCCTATAATTTTTAAATATTTCCATAGTTTTTCATGATTTCACGAATATATATTTTCTTTAATATTGATCACATAAATATCTGAACATGTTTATAAAACCTTAATACCACTATATTAATTTTTTTTTAAAGTAGGGCGAACAAACCCAGGGCGAACGGACCCAGAGCAAACATGTTATCAGGACGAACGGACCCGATACCATAGAGGCCACTCCCCTTTCTTTCCTATAAGAGTGAGGGGCCTTTAGCTTTACCATTGCATGAAACAAGTTCCTGTAGCCATGGTAGCACATGCCCAGCAAACAAAAAAACATTTAAGAATAACATAAACATAATGCCTCTTACAAATGTTATTTTTTATGTTATTTTGTGGACTCCAATCAACATTTAAGTGATATATATATATACATGTTCTAAATAACATTAAAAGGTAACATCCAACTATTAAGTTTTAAAGTTAAATTTAGATCTGTTAACTTTAATACTTGTACATCTAACTGACTTTAGAGTAACAACTATCACAACTTTATCATGTTTATTTTTTCTCAAAAAACTAAAGTATAAAAGTTTGCTCTAATTATGAATGTTTTGTAAAGTTGACTTGACAGTGCTTGAGCTATAGGAAAACCATCTTGACTGAAGTAAGCTATGATGAGAGCTCCACATGCTATTCCAATAGAAAGTATGGCAATTAAATGGAGTTGCCGATCTCTGTATTTCATGAACAGATTTTCAGGGTGAATGAATTTACCCACTAGCATTGTTATAATTGTATAATTCTTGACATGTTATATTTATTTAACACACTTTTATTAAGTTCACAAAATGAACATGTGTATATTTACAGGAAACTCTTACTGACTGTCTTAGTGGCAGAATTTGTCATACTTTCATTATGTCTGGTGATGGCATGAAAGAAGATTTATACAGTGTCCCATTGTCTAGTGACAGTGACACAGGTTTGTATCAGTATACAAAATTAATGTCAGCATGTTATGATATAAGTTCCTGCAGAAAGGACTGGCCCATGTTTCTGTAAAATAATATTTTTAATCTTTGATGAGCATATACAACTTATTTTTACATATATACTACAGGGTAATACTGGGTAATCTGAAATACTGGTCTGAATCTGAATCTTTAAGAGGATTAAGTAATCAATTACAAATGCAAGCCATAAACAATTTATACATGCAAATAATAAGCCATTTATCTCTTCAAATGTGGGTGATTTGTCCCTTACATCCTTAGGGGTTTATTTAACAATATGATTTGAACTATCTTGCAGGCGATCTACAACAAACAAATGGATACACCACAAAAAGAGTTCCCAGTGGAGACAATTTTACAAGTATGTACTATGTATTGATTGACATACATGCATGCAAGTGTTCATTCAGTGAGTTCGGGGTTGGCAAAAACCAGGGTTTCATGAGTATTACCCAGCCCAGTGGGAAATATTGGCAAAAACCCGGATTTTAGCGAATACTGGGCAATAACGGGTAATCTGAAATTCTGGCCTGAATCTGAAAGAGGATTCAGTGATCTATTACAAATGCAATAAATAAATGATTTATACATGCAAGACAGTATTTTAATTTATAACTGAGACTACTATAACGCATTATGGTAGTCTCATTTTATGAGCTCACTTGTTTGAAACTCTTAGTATAAAGTGTATAAATTTGTGAAAGTATTGGTCCAGCAACTCGAAGACATACATGAACACACGAACACACATAGACAAATGTAAATATTATACTCAATAAGTTTATAGATATTTCGTATAAACTTTTATTAAATTACCTTTCTGCCTAAATTGGTCAAATTGATAGCATAAGTCTTAATTTATTGTTTTTTTATGCCCCCGCCGTAGCGGAGGGGGCATTAAGTTTTACCCTTGTCCGTCCCAAAGTTGGTTTCCGTTCTCTAACTTTAAGTTTGCCTTAACCAATTGTTATGAAACTTATACACAATGCCTACTATCACAAAATACAGATCAAGTTTGAATTTTAGTGGTGTCACTTTTACCGTTCTAGAGTTATGCCCATTTACAAATGAAAAAATCGCAAAATTTTTTCGTTGCAGTTCTCTAACTTAAGTTAGCCTCAACCAAATGTTATGAAACTTATTACCACAAAATACAGATCAAGTACAAATTTGGGTAGCGTCACCTTTACCGTTCTTCGGTTATGTCCCTTTATAACTTTATATGATATGCAAGCAGGGGCATCGTCTGTGTCCCATGTACACATTCCCAATTTATTTTTATACGACCGCAAAAAAATTTTGCGGTCGTATATTGGTATGACGTTGGTGTCGTCGTCCTCGTCCGGCGTCATCGTCGTCGTCCGAAGACACATTGGTTTTCGCACTCTAACTTTAGTTTAAGTGAATGGATCTCTATGAAATTTTACCATAAGGTTCAATACCACAAAAGGAAGGTTGGGATTGATTTTGGGGGTTACAATACCAACAGTTAAGGAATTAGGGGCCAAAAAGGGGCCATAAATAAGCATATAATTTGGAGTTTAGTATGACGTCCATTATCACTGAACTAGTATACATATTTGTTTAGGGGCCAGCTGAAGGATGCCTCCGGGTGTGGGAGTTTCTCGCTGCATTGAAGACCCATTGGTGGCCGTCGGCTGTTGTCTTCTCTATGGTCGGGTTGTTGTCTCTTTGACACATTCCCCATTTCCATTCTCAATTTTATTTTTGTAACTTCCAGACATAACTTGTGTGTTAGTGTATGGATCTCTCTGACATTATACCACAAGGTTCCATATCACAAAGGGAATGCTGGGATTGATTTTGGGGGTAATTGCCTCAAAATTTTAGGAATTAGGGGCAAAAAACAAGCATTTTTCTAGTTTCATGACAATAACATGGGTGTAATTGTATGGATCTTTCTGAAATTGTACTACAAGGTTCCATATCACAAAGGGAAAGCTGGAATTGAGTTTGGGGGTAATTGCCCAAAACGTTTAGGAATAAGGAGCCAAAAAGGGGCCAAAAATAAGCATTTTTCTAGTTTCCAGACAATAACTTGTGTTCAAGTGTATGGACCTCTCTGAAATTGTACTACAAGGTACCATACCACAAAGGAAAGGCTTGGATTGATTTTTGGGTAATTGCCTCAAAATTTTAGGAATTAGGGGCAAAAAACAAGCATTTTTCTAGTTTCAGGACAATAACTTGTGTGTAAGTGTATGGATCTTTATGAATTTGTACTACAAGGTTCCATATCACAAAGGGAAAGCTGGGTTTGAGTTTGGGGGTAATTGCCTTAAAGGTTTAGGACTTTGGGGCCAAAAAGGGGCCTAAAAACAAGCATTTTTCTAGTTTCCAGACAATAACTTGTGTTCAAGTGTATGGATCTCTCTGAAATTGTACTACAAGGTACCATACCACAAAGGGAAGGCTGGGATTGAGTTTGGGGGTGATGAATCATAAGGGGGTTCAAAAAATTTGAGGGAGGGATTTTTTTTTCTTTAAAATTTTCCATTTTAAATTGGTTATTTCTGATTTATATATAAAAGCAAATAATAATGATATGGTTTGAATAGGTAAATTAAAAAAATTTAAGTTCTTAAACCACAACCTATGCTGTGTCAAATATTTAATCACAATCCAAATTCAGTGCTGTATCAAGCTTGAATGTTGTGTCCATACTTGCCCCAACTGTTCAGGGTTCGACCTCTGCGGACGTATCAAGCTGTGCCCATTTTATTTAATATATAAATGTCTAATATTTAGAGTAAATAATTAATTATATGTAAGGAAAATGGCTATTCGACAAACTTTGTTCATTTCTTTTTTTTTTAATTTTTGTTCTAGAATTTACACAATTCTAGCAAATTAGATACACATCACTAAATAAGTAATAATTCGGATTATGACACCTATTTGTTTACAAATGTATATTACAAGACAAGACAATATTTTATTTAAGTCTCACCTCTTACAAAACATTTATATATTATTACAGCTTCACATATAAAACAGGAGCCACTCTGAAAAAGAGTTCTGAGAGACTATAAAAATTATATATAAATTCATATATAACACTTTTCAAAAGACTAAAAAAGTGAAAAAGTATATTTTAACAAAACGCATTTGACTAACAGGTCGAACAACAAATGTTCTTTAACCCTGCTGACTGCCATTGGCGATTGCCAAATAAACGTATCACCAATGTTATAAATGGATCTTAATTATAAATTTAATACTAAACAGAAAACAATAAACTTGCGGAAAAGATGATATACCGCAAACAAAAGGGGCAAAGGTTTCGATTCCTAATATCACTGAAGAGACATTAATTGTCGAAATCTGGATATGGTGCACAAAAACCTTTGCACCTTTCGTTTGCGGTATATCATCTTTTACGCAAGTTTATTGCTTTCTGTTTAGTATTAAATTTATAATTAAGATCCATTTATTACATCGGTGATCCATTTATTTGGCAATCGCCAATGGCAGTCAGCAGGGTTTAAGAACATTTGTTGTTCGACCTGTTAGTCAAATGCGTTTTGTTAAAATATACTTTTTCACTTTTTTGGTCTTTTGAAAAATGTTGTTTGTGCTGTATTTAGACCCCTCTAACAAGAAATTTGTTTTGCATGCACACGTATAAAAATTGCGGTTTTTATCCAACGCAATCATAGGTTTGAACGTTGTTTTCAATTTAGACTTGTTTATATTTTTCGTTTGGGCTTGTATTATGTTTGCCTTAGGGTTTATATGATCCGTTCATCCTATTTTGACTCCTCAAAATTCAAGAGTCTATCCTAAATTGAGGTAAATTGTATGGCTTTCCAAATACAGTTTCGATTCCTAACATCACTGAAGAGACATTAATTGTCGAAATCTGGATATGGTGTACAAAAACTTTTGCACCTTTTGTTTGCGGTATATCATCTTTTTTCACAAGTTTATTGTTTTCTGTTTAGTATTAAATTTAAAATTAAGATCCATTTATTACATCGGTGATCCGTTTATTTGGCAATCGCCAATGGCAGTCAGCAGGGTTTAAGAACATTTGTTGTTCGACCTGTTAGTCAAATGCGTTTTGTTAAAATATACTTAGACCTGTTGGTGACCTTCTGCTGCTGTCTGTTCTATGGTCGGGTTGTTGTCTCTTTGACACATTCCCCATTTCCATTCTCAATTTTATTTTTCACTTTTTTGGTCTTTTGAAAAATGTTGTTTGTGCTGTATTTAGACCCCTCTAACAAGAAATTTGTTTTGCATGCACACGTATAAAAATTGCGGTTTTTATCCAACGCAATCATAGGTTTGAACGTTGTTTTCAATTTAGACTTGTTTAAATTCATATATATATATACACACACATAAAATATAAAACATACTAAAAATATACATTTTAAGAATATAATAAATATTTTCTTTTCAATAAAATATCATAGCTGATTTTGGCATGTAAAGTAAACATTTTCATCACTAAATAAAAATACAAATTTATCATCATCTGACATACTATAAAAATCATGACAAAAAAAATTCATAAATTGAGAATGGAAATGAGGAATGTGTCAAAGAGACAACAACCCGACCAAAGAGCACAGGAATAAACAAAACAGCACGTAAATCTTCATATAGTGGACAACTCAAAATTATGTTTCCATCTTCAATATTATTATTACAATTAAAACATAGTCTATCATCAAAAGGTAAGTTCTGATACCAGCCCGTTTCAATTTTTAGGGGCACAACACCACAGCGAAATTTTGCAAAAGCCCTTCTATATTACAATAGAATGCCTTTTTATTTTTTCAAATGTGGATGTTTTGTCCCGCAGGGTATATATTTAACAATATGATTGTATGGCAATTAAATTTTACAATTCACTAATAACACTACGCTTAAATATATTTTTTCAAACTTTTAATTGATTCACTTAAAGCTGGGAGATAAACAAGATATACAACAAAAAAAATAAGCAAAAAATAATTTTATTTTTACAATAAAAAATTATTGGAAAAACATGAGAATAGGAAGAAATAGAATTTGTTATCCACTGAAAATAACTAAATGTTTATCTGTATGAAAGGTATGTTTTTCAATATAATACTATGAAACTAAAATAATTCTTTGCTATTCTGTGTGTAAATAAGCTTCAAAATTCATATTACCCATTATTACCTGGTATTACCCATTTCTGGGAATATTGCCCTTCCCAGGAAAACCAATATTTCCCACACAGGTAATACTTAAGCAACCCCAGTGAGTCAACAGCATACTTTCAAAATTTTAGGAAGTTTTAAGTTAGCGTTTAATTTAATGTTGCCAAATTATATGACGAACAAGGAAAGTGGTGTTAAAGGGGCACTAGCTGTCCAATTCATGTTCACCGATTTGACTCAAATTCTCATATTTGATTTATAACAATGTAAAACATTTATCCAAATTATAAAAAAGTCTAAAATAAACAATATACCGGGCATGGACTCAATAATATGTAGCTTCGTTTCGTGTGTATTTTAGTGTAGACGCCATCTAATTAACTGTCGAGTTGACCCCCGAAGACCTCCGATTGCCATATAAGCGATATAAACATAAATATAAATATAAATAGATATCAGACTCGTGCATTTATATTTTTCTATGTCTGTTTAATTTCATATTATAGATTAAAATTATATGTTAATCGTTTTTACCTGTATCAGAATGATTTTTTGTGGAACGAATCAGTCAATCAAATGATTTACCTTTGTTTCACTTTCAATGTTGACATTCTTTTCCTTTAAAGAATTGAACACGCAGAATGCATGCGGTATCCATCTCTAGCTAAGGGGTTAAATTGAAGTTCACATGAATACGGATTCAATGAGGTCGAATTATTCACTTGCAAGTGAATAATTCATCATCAATGTTTCTTAGCTTATTTTGACAAAATTGAACTATACTGGCTGCTAAAAGCGATATATTATTTCACTATTTCACTTTCATTAATGATTGAACAAAAAAAATCATACTTTATATTTTTTATATATCTTGTAGCTAGTGCCCCTTTAAGGTGTAATACCACCAAAATATAGTACCTCACATGTGGTTTCATGCTAAAAAATGGTTGAAAAAAATATTCCCTTGGATTTAACAGTTGTAGGAAACTCATAAACCTTATTTTTCATTGCAGAAGATTTTTTATGAGTCATAAACATATATCTTGGGTGTTTCAAAGCACCATTTTTTTTTTATATGGTGTTCCAATAAAATATTTTAGAAAATTGAGGTGACATGGTTACCACAGCTTGTAAACAGAAAAGAAAGGGATGAAAAGTTGGTGGTTGACTTCCAGTGATGGTTAATTGTATGCCCCCGCAACTAAAAGTTGGGGGCATATTGTTTTACCCCTTCTGTCCGTCCGTCTGTCTGTCCGTCCCATTATGGGTATATAGTTATTCCAGATAACTCCTCCTACAGTTTGAATGCTAGGAAGCTTTCACTTTGATGGCTGTTTGTACATATATTGAAGGTGTGCATGTGGTCAGGGTTTTTATTTTTATTGATATTTGCTCATTTGAGAGATAGTTGAACTTTGTCATTTTTGTCGAGCCTGCAACTTTTGTCGCAAAAGTAAGACATAGCGATCATACATTCTGTCGTCGTCTTCGGCAGCGGCGTCCACAAATATTCACTCTGTGGTTAAAGTTTTTGAAATTTTGATAACTTTCTTAAACTATCCTGGATTTCTATCAAACTTGGACAGAAGCTTGTTTATGATCATAAGATAGTATCCAGAAGTAAATTTTGTAAAAAAAAAATCCTGTTTATCCGTATTTTACTTATAAATGGACTTAGTTTTTCTGCCAGATAACATTACATTTACTCTGTGGTTAAAGTTTTTAAAATTTTAATAACTTTCTTAAAATATCCTGGATTTGTACCAAACTTTGACAGAAGCTTGTTTATGATCATAAGATAGTATCCAAAAGTAAATTTTGTAAAAAAAAAAAAATCCTGTTTATCCGTATTTTACTTATGAATGGGATATCATTTGTGTCTCCCAGACACAATAATATTTCAAAGAAAGTCCTACATTGACTTTGTTATAATACAGTTACTTCAGAGTGGAGTGCTGGGTCATCATTTTGTTTAGTCTTATATCTGCAATGTCATGTCGTGTGAAATTTTCACACATACAGTAATGGACAGGATAAAACTTTACCAAGTATTTCTTTATTTGAAACAAAGATGAACTCTGCACAAATTTTTGAACAATGCCAATTAAAACAAAGACTAAAAGGGGGAAAACAATGGTGGTATTACCCCATAAGGTGTAACACCACTAATTTGGGCCCAGCCAGAAAGCACATACCAGAAAGTAGCACATATTTAACACAAAATAGTTCCTACGCATGAGTGTAACTTTCAAAATATGTAGAATATTTAGGTCTTTTTTGTATCAAATGAAAGCTGAATGACTGGTGATCATTGTAGAACACTTTTTGACTTATAATTTTGAATATTAAAAAAACTGCACCAACTTTTAAAAAGAGGGTACATTTTGCCTGTTTGTCAGATCTGAAGTACCTGTTTTGGTACATCCGAAGTTCCGTGAACCAGTTCTCTCTTATATGCCATTAAAGGTATGTTGATTTTTTCAGTACAAGACACCATAAAGTGTTGCTTTGACATGCAATGATTGTCACTTTATTTGAACTTAAAGTAAAAGAGCTGTGCGTGCTTGAAATTGAGGAATTTAACATAGAAAGCAATGGGGTACTTCCTAAAGCAATTATATGTGGAACAGAGGACATTATCATCAATAATCAAATATAAATTTGAAATTTAAATTATGAAGCAAGGCAATTAAATTACTATGCTATCATCCTGAATTAGCAAGTAAATTTTGCTGTTGGACATTAAGCAGCCATCACTCAATCAGTTTATCAAAACGGATTAATATAAGCTAACAGCTTGTTTCTGGATCCTATTAATTATTCACTTGTATTAATATGTAAATGCCAATTTGTGTAAATTACTTAACCTGAATTTAATTAATAAAATATGTTTACACTAAACAATAAATTTTGTGTTCTCCTCTAACTTCAGGTCTGGACCCAGATATTAACCCTGATGAAGAGGAGGAGAAACAAAGACTCATAGCACAAGTTCTTGAACTACAAAATACACTAGATGGTTAGTACATAATAGAAAAACAAAGGATATGGGGTATCCATCCATGACACAAAATTAGAACATGCTCAGCAGAAAACACACAAAAAGCAAAGGAACAGCACTTTTATTGCTGTTCTTCATCTCAAAGTCACAGTGAGGCCTTCAACATGGAGCAAAAACACTCTCACCTAACTACAAGTAACATATATTCATAAATTCCAAATAGTCTCTTATAAAGCAAAATTTGCTTATCTTTTTCTGAAGAATGACAATAAAGTGACTATATGCAATAATGCAATATCATCACCACTATTCCTAAATTGAGGACTAAAATATGGTTGGAAATAATGCACACAAATATTTTAATCTTTTCACCAGTATTTTTTTACTGTAAATTTTTTCTCTCAGAATTGTAACATAAATTTTACTATATCTTTGAAATCCAAGGAACAAAATAGTATGACCTGTAACTACAAAACACATGAAGATGTGTAGCTTATAGATATAGGAAGATGTGGTATGAATGCTTTTCTATTCTTGTAAATATTTTTCCATAAGAAATTTGCTTGTATGGGAGATAACTCTGTGAACTATGGAGGAAAACATTATCATATAATAGAGGATCTTCACTAGTTTTATAACGTATGAGAAAAGTGAAATAAAGGTTTGGTCATTCTTAAAGGGATGAATATTTCTCTGATTAAGGCTAAAAAGAAAAGTATTGTCAATTGTAAATACATAACCTAAAATTGTGATGAACATTTCAATACACGATGATGTGTTTTGTAAAGCAGGAAGAAAATAACTGGGAAAAAATGACATTTAGGAACTTTTAACAAGAAATCTAAAAGTGCTCAATAAATAAATGTACAATTTTAAACAATAGCAATTTTAATATTTAGAACTTTTTGAATTCTTGTAGAAAGTTCATAAAAGTCCCTTTTCCCTTAAGTTTCCAAGGATTACTATTTGGTTCCATTTTCAGAAAATTCATAACTTAATTACCAATCCAACTAAATTTTCATTTTAATAATGTTTGGAACTTTTTTATACTTATGATTGACAGTCAGATTTATAGAGGCAGTAACACAAGAATCTGACTATATATCAAATGGGAGACAACTCTGTTTGATTTTTAGATTTTTGTATTTTATAAACAATCTACAAATAAAAATCTATCTTGTGAAATAAGATACTACAGCATTTTTCATTTTGGGAAATTAATTCATAAAAACACAATGATTTCATATTGCAGTTATATTTTTATGGAAAGTAGAAGACAAATTATCAAAATTTCATTGCATTTTGATAATTAAAACCATAAAATAAATTGTTTATTTCCTTATATAGGTTAGTAATGTCAATTGAAAGATATATTTAATATTAAAAACAAATTCAATCAAATGTGTTTTTTTTATGAACTATGAATGAAATATAAATACAATTATGACCATTTACATAAATTAAGTAATGGGTCCATGTCTCATTTAAAGGGACATAACTCAACCTACTTTAATACACATCTATCATAGCACTATTGTCTTTATTACTTAATTGTACAACAATGTACTAAAGAGTTATGAAATATAATGATGTAATATATATTTTAAGAAGAACATATTTCATAAAGGCTAGAAAAATGTGTTGTGTTTCTGATTATGAACATGAAGTCCTAAATCAGGAAAGTCCTAAATCAGGAAAGTCCTAAGTCAGGAAAGTCCTAAGTCAGGAAAGTCCTAAGTCAGGAACCTGATGTTCAGTGGTTGTCGTTTGTTGATGTGGTTCATAAGTGTTTCTCGTTTCTTGCTTTTTTATATAGATTAGACTGTTGGTTTTCCTGTTTGAATGGTTTTACACTAGTCATTTTTGGGGCCCTTTATAGCTTGCTATTCGGTGTGAGCCAAGGCTCCATGTTGAAGGCTGTACTTTGACCTATAATGGTTTACTTTTACAAATTGTGACTTGGATAAAGAGTTGTCTCATTGGCAATCATAACACATCTTCTAATATCTATGAAATAAGGATAGATATGTATGTGTAGAGCTTGTTTGTCCCATATCAGGCTAAACTTTGGGCTAAAAGTAGGTTATAGTTATGGTTTAAGGTAGTTTTACAATGAAGTTGTGGTCGCATTAACATAAAACCTAGAACACATGTTTATTATTGTGTGAACTTATAAAAATATTTCCAAACTAGGATTTTGACTTAGATTTAGCGGTTTGCTAAACATGAAAATAAAATAGTTCCCATTGCAAAATGAATGCAATCTCTACCCTCTATGATTTTTTTCTTGTCTCGCCTCGACAAAGTAAAAAAAAAGAGATTTAGGCATGCTGTTTCTGGGATCAGCGTTGTCAACAATGTATTAGTGTGTGATTAGGCCAGTTTAAGGGGAACCACTAATGGAGGGAAGGTCAAAAATATTTGGTACGCAGTTGTATTAGCATTGGCATGTTTCATTTTCATGGAGATGTTTTGCCCACACGGTCTGTAATGGTCTGTTGACTTTGAAACTTTGCTTAGTGTACATGTATTCGTTTGTGATTTATTAGATAAATTTAAGTCAAACCACTTGTTGAAGGTCAATGATAATTGGTAGGCAGTTGTATTAGCATGTGCATGTTTCATTACGTTAGAAATTATTTTCCTTGCTCCCCCCTTTTTTCCACCCGTCAGCCATGATCTACTGACTTTGACAATTTTGCCTAGTTTACATGTTAAAGTTTGTGTTTAGATTAGGTCAGTTTAAAGGGATTCACTTATGATGTCATGCAGTTTTAAATTGAAATGCCTTTGAACATGATGAAACTAACAATGCCATGAAAAAATATGTTACTGTGAATATATATTTCTTCTTTTAAATACATTTTCAATATGTTTTAAGATCTGTCATCAAGAGTGGACTCGGTAAAAGAAGAAAACCTGAAACTAAAATCAGAAAACCAAGTATTAGGGCAATATATAGAAAACCTCATGGCTGCCAGTAGTGTGTTCCAGTCAACAGAACCTAAAGCTAAGAAAAAGTATATATATTAACTAAGTTTTATATTAAAAAGATGAAGAAGAAATAACACTTTATATTAATTTTGTGCAGCCTAAGCACTTTTCTGGATTAAGTTTCATCAGGAATGCTCTAACCAAAATATTTGAAACCCAAGTGTTTAAGTGCTTGAATAGCTATTTATACCAAAAGGGACCTAAAATGAATAACCAAATTCATCTAAGGTTAACTTTGCCTGAGGGAGTTTTAACCTTACTTTCTTGATTATTTATGAATTCATCAACTGAGATACATTAAGGGGACAAGATCATTTTAGTCCAGTTCAAGAGGCAAAATTTAGTGTGGTTCACACTAAGATCATTATTTTCATGTAATGCAGTTTTCTTAGGAGACAAAATCTGGCCTCGCGGTCATAAAACTTTTGAGCACGATTATTGTACTCAGACTCAGAAATCAGCCAATCAAAATACTGGATTTGGTGTTTCGAGCACAAATTTTGTACTCCGAGTACTGAGTAAAGTTTTATGACCGAGGGACCTGACCTTTATATATCATTGGTGTTCAGGTTATAAAAAATTGAAAAAAAATCATTATTAAGGTATTTAGACTGTAATTTACAAGACGATTATTTATAAAGCCAAAAATGGTCAATGTAAATCAAACTTGGTGACATAGGCAAACATTGGTAAACTTCAATATTTATTAAAGTAAGTTTTTAAGAATTTTACTACTCATGCAATTTATATTTGTCAATAATTAAATTTATTATTTATAGTTTCATTTTTTTTTAAATTAAAAAATATTTGACAGCAATTTGGGTTATGATTCAGTGGACTGATGGTTATTAATTTTAACATTTGTATTAAAAAGATAAATGCACACAGTAGATAAATAAGAAATGTATTGAATATGTTTGAAGTATAGAAAGGTTATAAATACAGTTCAACAGATGATCTAATATACTAACAAATTCTTTTTTTTAAGGTCTGGGAAGAAAAGAGAGAAATAAATCAAAGTCTGCTAACAGTTAGAGAAAGCTTTGAACTACAGCAAAATTTCATGTGGTTGCATAATATCTAAAAATAACCTAGTCTTTATAACTTATAGAATAGAATGCTGATTGATTTTTATTTCAACTGCATAAAAAATGTTTGTATTGTTGAATCTCATTTAAAGTTTGTATTTATATTAAAAGGAAATGTTGCAAAAAATGTATATGTATATTTACCAAAACCTCAATGATTTACAACCAGTATAAATTACCAATGAGTTTTTTATCTACAAGTTTCTTAGTCAGTAATTATTTTGTTGAGTCACTTGAGTAATTGGTTTGTAATGAAACATACTTTTAATGCATTTCCTACTTGTAACATTGTTGTTCTATTAACATTAACATAAAAGCATTAATACTGGAAATTCAGAAATGACTATGTTCATTTATTATTGCAATTGTTGACATATATGCAAAATTAACTATTTTAATTTGAGGAAATGCTGTATGCAAATGATGTTATCAAAATTTAAAATGTGATTTTTATACATTTGAAGGAATTCTGTCGCTCTTTTTGCAATAATTGAAACCATGCAAAAATTTCTAAATTAACAGTTAATAAATTTCTGGAAATTTTTCTATAAAAAAATATTAAATTCTATTTCATATGATAATTATTTCCCCTAATTTTACTGTAATTATTGCATTATTTAGAAAAAGAAAAATAGACAAATGTACGTATTTATAAAAAAAGAACATCTGTTCAGCATTTTATCTCCCTTGATCTTGCAGTTACAAGTGTATTCTGTAGATGAAATTCATAATCATGCAGTTTTGTACAAAAGACAAAAAATATGAAATGTGTGTTACCTTTTTTAAATTTTCATACTTTAATAGATTGATTTTTATCCCCAAGTTTCCACAATTATTCACACACTGCCAGAGGCTTTACAATACTTCTACATGAACTTTATTGAAACATTATCAGCATTAATTAAGGGCATTGTGGAATTTCTGGTAAAACTTACAAACTAAGAAAACCTATAGTTTCTCTCTTATAAAGCATCTTTTCCCAATGTCTACACAGCACTTGTAAACTTTCTGAACCTACAGCATTCTGCTAAAAGCTAAGCTTTATCTCTCTGGTGTATATACTTAGCCCTTATTAACCTGTAAACAGTTTGTGTACATTTTTGATACCTTGAATCAAATTTAGGACCAAACATTGGCATTGCTAGTTGATTTACTCCTGGAAAGTTGAATCATCCTGGAAATTCAAATTTTCGAATAAGTGTAAGATGATGGAATGGTACCTTTTTGTTTGAAAAATGAATTTGAAATTTATGTTACAGTTCACTGCATTTTAAAATTTTATTAACACAAAGCTTTAAAAATCTGTGTTTGTGTAAAAATACTTACTGAAAAATTATCTGGCAAAATAAGAGAATGTTCTGTTTTTTATTTGATCTCTTTTCATACCTCCAATGTCTGGAGATACTGTAAAAAGCTGATATTTAGTTCACTGTGAACATAATTCCCACCATATTCTTTTTTTCTTTTTGTTGCACAATTTTGAATACAGGATTTCCTAGTTCAGAGGAATTTGTACCATCAAACCAATTAGAATTTCATCTAGACAAGACTGAAGTGAGTTTATTGTTATAAAAAAAATGTTGATTTTCCCAGGAAAAAAATACTCAGTTTTAAAACATGACATAATCATAAAGGAAATTCATTGACATCCAAAAAATACAATGCATGTTTTTCATGGAACCTTGAAAGGGGTACAGAACACTTAAGGTAGATAACTTTTTAAATATCGGCTGAATGTTTTAATCAAATATTATTAGAAAAGAGAAATCAAGCTTCTCAATGATCAAAATTGTTGTTTGTCAAACTGCTATATATCCAATGAAATTATTTCTGTAAATTGTGTGGTTAAAATTTATTGAAATTTTTATATTTTTGTCAACATGTCAAAATGAATATTTTGTCAAAATTTTATAAAAATTAAACAAGCCAACTTTATTTTAGTCGAAGTGCTGGGTACCCCCTTAAGTATAAACGTGTTGTTCAGAAGGTCCTTCTGATGAAAATAAAGTAGTCCTTTCCATATTCTTTGCAGAAAGAAGGCCAATTCACACAATCAAAATTCAAACTGATTTGAAGAGTTTATGACAAGAATGAAAAAGACACATTGTTATTAAATAATAAGGTTATGGAGCAAGTGCATGGCTGAAGGGTTAGTTCTAAGTAATTTTTGTGACATAGAGAGCTGAAAAATCCTGTATTTTTTAAGATATTTCATTTTATATTTAGACTTAATGTGATATTTTATCTGTTAAAAATTAATATCTTTAATGTTTGGTAATTTCGGGTAAAGTTGTTGTTGTTTATGCTATTTCCTATTGTATACTTCATATTTTCTAATGTTGTAAGTTTTTATTATCGAAATCCATAAAATATGTATGCAGTGTTCTCCCTAGGAATTTCAAATACCATCTTATCAGAGAGGAAGTTTTCAAATGCGAACTTCTTATTGAAACTGGTAATATCACAGTAATGAAATTCCCCAAAAATATGTGTATATTGTAAAATAACAAAAACAACAAACTCCGAGGAAAATTCTAAACGGAAAGTACATAATTAAATTGCAAAATTAAAAGCTCAAAACACCTTTACTCCATCAGTATGGCAGATATACTGTAGATTCATTATTATTCGTTGGATACCAATTTTCGTGGATTTCATGGGTAAATTAAATGTTCAACGAATAACAAATTTTCTATAGGCTAGTATGAAGACTTTCGCAAAACCACGAAATCAAATATCCACGAACATGCAAGTTTTCCTTAATCTACAAAAATTGATACCCACGAAAATAAATGAATCTGCAGTAATAGGATCTCTGTTCCTAATTGCTATTGAAAACAATATTTTTGGCTATCATATACAGCAGGTCTGTAATGCCATTGTAATACATTTACAATAGATTTTGTAATGGTGTCCAGCAGATTTGATCCGTGTTACCTAATTTATTTGCTGTACTAATAGGCAGTTGTAGGTTGTCATAATTAATCCTTAGAGAATTCTGTTCTGTTGGTATCAGAGTGAAAAAATTGGATTGTGGGATGCTGGACACCCCTAGGGAAAACATTTTATATTGGATGTTGTTGTATATTGTGATGCATATTTTGTTTTTGTCACTGCCATACTGCATAGATTACTTAAAATAAAACATTAAGCAATATATATATATATATAGCTATTTATGAATTCACATTACTTATAAAAAACGAAAAAGTAATAATATGTGGTATGATGCCACGAGACAACAGTACACAGAAGTGACCATTTGTTGCTGACATATACACTATTTGGTCCCTGGTGGATAAAATTGAGAATGGAAATGGGGAATATGTCAAAGAGACAACAACCCGACCAAAGAGCCGACAACAGCCAAAGGCCACCAATGGGTCTTCAAAGCAGTGAGAAATTCCCCCACCCAAAGGTGGTCCTCAGCTGGCCCCTAAATAAAAGTGTGAACTAGTTCAGTGAAAATGGACGTCACACTAAACTCCAAAACATAAATGAACTAAAATTAAAAATAGAAAAGGCTAGAGTCTCCTGACTTGGGGCAGGCGCAAAAATGGATAGTTCTCTCATTGGCAATTATACACATTATTTTATACACAAATTCAACTTGACCATGTTTCCTCTAACTAAAATTTCAATCAGGACACCTCCATATTGGTTAGGTACAGTCATTTCCCTATGTCGAAAATTTTATCTAATTTCTACAGACATGCTACAGTTGCAACCTTTATTTATTACATAATTCAAATGGGTTATTTTGAAATTCATAGTGATCAGATGAAATCATAAAATTGAGAATGGAAATTTGGAATGTGTCAAAGAGACAACAACCAGACCAAAGAGCAAACAACAGCCGAAGGTCCTCATTGGGTCTTCAACTTACCAATGCAATCATTAATTTAATTAGTTACTTTAAGAAATGATGTTATCATTAATTTGATTTAATCGTACAATTGACAAAGTAATTGTATTTTAATCAATTACATTGAAAATAATCGGAAACATATCTGCCTCCGATAGATTTAGGGAAACACGTCAAATTCCATCGAAAAAAAGCACGACCTTGTGCAATGCAAATATAATAGCATTGACAAGATTTAGGGCAGCTATTGTTAATAATTTGACAAAAATGTTGTTTACACAGATGCATCCCATGTAAACCTATTAAATCATTTCTGTGAACAAACTTAAACTGTAATTTTACAGAAATTAATCTTTGAATATTGTCTTTTAATATACTGTACAATATACATAAAATTGAAAATGGAAATGGGGAATGTGTCAAAGAGACAACAACACGACAAAAGAGCAGACGAAGGCACACTGCAAGAAAATCCGGACTCGGAGGCGGACTTCAGCTGGCACCTAAACAAAAAAGTGTACTAGTTCAGTGAAAATGGACGTCACACTACACTCTGAAATATATAAATGAACTGAAATTATAAAGCATACAAGACTAACAAAGGCGAGAGGCTCCTCACTTGGGACAGACGCATCAACAAAAAAAAGAGATGGAACTAATTCTTCAGGTAAGTAAATACTGAGTAGTGAGTACGAGAATTCGTTTCGGTGTAAGTCCTTTTTGCAGCGTGCACGTGTACTTTGTAAAAGAAATTGATAAAGAAATTTGTAAGGTTTAGGTGTTGGTAGCTTCGGACAAATCTTACAGAGGTCTGCTCTGTGAGTTTGTTAATGTCTTGGTGCATTAAGCCACTATGATATAGTAACTGAAAAGGGGGGAAAATTATGTTCAGGTATAAAACAAAATACTTTAAGGCTTTTTCTCCATTTCTAACATTAAAAATGCACATGACTTAAAAAACAAAATAAAGGCCACATTAAATACCTTAATATGAAAATAAGAAGATGGTTATATATTGCCAACTCTCCACAAGAGACCAAATGACACAGAAATTAACAAATATAGGTTACCGTAAAGCCTTCAATAACGAGCAAAACCCATACCACATAGTCAGTTATAAAAGGCCCCGAAATGACAAATGTAAAACAAATTCAAACGAGAAAACAACGGCCTAATTTTTGTACAAAATAATGATCGAAAAACAAATATGATACACAGAAACAAACGACAACCACTGAATTACAGGCTCCTGACTTGGGACAGGCACATACAGAATCAATGTGGTTGGATTAAACATGTTAGCGGTCACCCAACCCTCCCCTTAACGTGGGACAATGGTGTAACAGTAAAACATAAGAACAAACTTAACTCGTCAGATGGATACAAACAGAAATACATATAACAAAAACAGAGTGGACTTGGCAGGGTACTTATACATCCCCACAACAAAAAGACACTAAGTAAAGGTCTGAGCTAGAGTACTCGCAGTTACTGACAGCTAGTTCAAAGCCAATAACAACTAATAGATCAAATCATGCATCTAACACTAAAATATCAATCAGTACACATCCAAAATCCAATGGATTTAGAGTAAAGGCGGCATTATCAGTCAGAAAAAAACATGACCTTGTGCAATGCCAAGATAATGGTATCGACAGATTGTAGAGCAATGAATGTGCATATGTATACAAAAATTATATTTAGTTTGATTTTAATTTACCGATAACAAAATCAATATTAATACCAATAAAACATCATTGAAAGATCTTATTACAGTGTTGAATTGGTAACCTTTTAAAACAAGTTTATTTAAAGGATCGGTAAGTTTACTCGGATCATATCTAAATTTTCAGGCTCGGTAAACAACATCTCCGTAAAAATTAGGATGTGCCTTTCAATTTTGAATAATTTTTCTACAGGAAAAACCAAACGTCAAAACCAAATCTTTATATTTATGGAAGAATTTAGTAAAGGTTTTACGTAATTTGTGGTAACGAAGCAAATGGTGCAATATGAATACTTACAGTGAACCTGTTGATAAATTTTATTGCCTAAACGTACATGAGCGAAAAATTACATTTCGATGAAAAATATACCATGTAATCAATAAACTTTGACTAAGAAGCTGGCAAATGGTTAAATTGATAGAAATTCTTTTAATAAATCATACGTGAAAAAATCGCCAAAAATAGTTTTTTACCTGTAACTTGCATATGCAGTCTCAAAATCTGCAACACGGAAAGCTGGGGAGATGTGTTTGAGAAAGCGGAGCACTGGAAACCTCTGCTTTTGCTTGTTGAAAATAGATTATGGTTTGGTTCCTTAAGTGCAATACAGTATTTTAAGTTGATGGAAGTGTTTAACAACCTTGACTGGCTATACACAACTAAACTGTCTAGTGTACTTACTAGTACACTTGGTTCAATAAATAACCTGGCAATAAATTGTTCAAATAAGGCCTTTGAAGATAGTGGAATAAATTACTTTTGGAGAGTCACGAATTCGTTGGAAGTACTTAATAATAGCATACTCATATTGGTGATTTAAAATCTGCTCAAAGTTTTGATTTTTCTACTTTATATACCACTTTGTCTCATTTTACACACCTAATTAAAAGGGCATTTTAAAAAGTCAGAATGCGTATACATGTAACACTCCAAAACGTGTCCATCCCCCCAAACGTGTCCGATTCCCTCAAACGTGTCTTTAAAATCCCAAATCGCCCAAACGTGTTCAATTTCACATCCCCTAAACGTGTCCGATAATTGTTATTCGCTAAAACGTGTCCACTTTAAGACTCGTGAACGTCTCAAAACTTTTAGCTCTATATTATGTCGTCAGTGACGTCCATGACGTTTACAGCTATTCAATATTGTAGAGGACACGATTAAAGATGTCGGGTTTCGATTAATAATAATAATATAATAAATAATAGATACTTTATTTAAAGAGGGTAAAATCAGTTAATACAATACTAATCTCCCCTGATGCCCTCTGAATAACTCAAAATATAACAATAATATAATGTATCCATATACATACAAACAAGTCTAAATTGAAAACAGCGTTCAAAACTATGATTGCGTTGGATAAAAACCGAAATTTTTATATGTGTGCATGTAAAACAAATTTCTTGGTAGAGGGGTCTAAATACAGCACAAACAACATTTCCCATAAGACCAAAAAGTAAAAAGTATATTTGAACAAAACGCATTTGACTAACAAGTCGTCGAACAACTAATGTTCTGAAACCCTGCTGACATACATACATACATACATACAGCTTTTATGCAAAACAAATGGCGAAAAACATACATAATCGTTTCATGAACATATTTTGTTAATGATAGAGGACAAATATATTTTTTTTTAGAATATAGATACATTTCATCTGATACTTAATATTTTTAAATAACTTTTTATAATTATTTTTTTATAATTATTCATCATCGAGTCCTATAAAAAGATTAAAGCCGCATTCAAAGGACATAAATGCTATATTGTGTTAGCACAATTACTGGAATTTAAAAAAGGTAACAGAGTCGACCGAAGAAAATCCAAAATCATATTAATTAAATCCTTAATGTTAATTGCTTAAAGTCCAGTTACAAATATTTCATGCATATTCAGGACGACAACATATTAACTATAAATACATAAGGTATATCTATCTACACGAGGCTTCGGATTTAACATCCAAATTACGACCGGCTGTGGTTTTCAATAGAACTGACTTCCCTTTTTTCAACAATTCTGATACAAACTCATTTTCAGGATTTTTTTTTTATTAAATTTTAGGTTTCGAGCATCACTAAAGACACACGAACAAGAGACATAACGTCCAGTGCCAAATATGTCATGCATTATTTGAACTATATCACGGTAACAATAAAAACTGTAGGTATGTTCTATTACTATACCAGGAATTTGTGATTGGGCCTAAATTTTTACGGTTATTCGAGATTAACACTAGTTGGGGTAATAATCTAAAAATTTTAAGAGCGAATCCAGACCGATTTTTTTGTGACTTCAGTAAGAAACTACTTCAATATCCGTTATATAATAGAGGCTGTTTTAAATAAAAGTTGCGGAAATTTTAACTGCCACTAGAAAATAGGAATCAGGACAAAAATGTTGCCTTCCGAAATACAACTGATGGCACCATGAAAGAGCTGTTAGAAAGGTTTTAATCTGCAGAGAAAGGGACATTCTCCCTACACAAGGTATCTGATTTTATATCCACAATTTAACTGAGCAAGGCTACTGACTTACATTTACATCCGACATACCTGAACGGACGCCCCACTTAAAAAAATACCTAAAGTACTTTATTTCTATTTTTAGTTAAAATAGTAAAATGAGTATATATACATACGTTAATGAAATAGCAATAACCAAATATCGGAAGTATTTATAATATGGACACGAATGATCGTTCAGTAAAAGAAAAAAAAATAAGCTTGATTTGGGCACGTTTGGTGTTTATTAAAAATGGACACGTTTGGGCGATCATACAAACGACACGCTTTGGAGCCCTTTATCATCAAGACATGTTTTGCAGTTCAGTGACGTCATGTGGACACGTATGGGGGAATCGGACACGTTTTGGAGGATGGACGCGTTTCTGAGTGTTACATATATATATGTTTAAACTGTTTTAGGTATTTTTTTAGTAACAACAAACAAAAGAACTATTTCAATTGGACCTGCTTTGGTACTATATTTCCCTTGCATTTTTATTAGATAACATTATTGTTCGCTATGAAGATTTCGTATATCATCAAGTATCGGAATTCCAATGGGGACTAACTGTACACCACTTATTGCAGACCTGTTTCTGGATTGCTCTGAATTTATGACTAAAATCAGAAAAGACCAATCGAAACAACATCGGATACAAAAATTAAATAACACTTTTAGATATTTGCATGATGTATTGGCTCTCAATAATGACGACTTTAGTATGTAAACTATAAAGATTTATCCTGCTAAACTGACTTTAAATAAAGCTAACAATAACAATGAACACTGCCCTTTCCTGGATCTCGATATCCATATCTTTAACGGGAAGCTTTATACCAAAATTATGTTCCCTTGTCACCATCTTATGGTGTTTATATATCTCAACTTGTTCGATTCCCTCGTGTATGTAACAACGTTATTGATTTTAACGAAAGAAATCTCAGTATTACTGAAAAATTATTACACCAAGGTTTTTGATATCACAAACTTTTCAAAACATTTACTAAATTTTATCATCGTAAATATAATTCAACACGTAGACATCTTGTACTTCACATCCAACCTTTCATGTAATATTCTTTACAAAGCCCAAAAATATCGGCATTCACATCAAAAGCTAACCAAACATTTAAACAGACTTACTCAGAAGGGATATAGTTACGATACTATTGTCAGGTCATTAAAGATGGCATATTTTGGTATTAGTATTGATTCACTAATAGGGTCTTTGCATCGGAAATAAACACATTTATTCTAAAACCAGTTGATGGCATGATACGGGTTATGTTCTTCTCATATGTTTTAAAATGGTAGGATACTAAACCTCTAACGGGAGGGGATTGTGCTTGAATTTCATATGATGAAACCATAATCTTTCAATCAGTTTAATTGAGGTCTGGAGTTCGCATGTCACTTACTGCTAGTTGTCCCTTTTAATTTATGTATCATTGTCATTTTGCTAAGTTTCTTTTGTTACCTATTCTGACATCGGACTCGGACTTCTATTAAACTGAGTTTTACCGTGCGTATTGCTGTGTGTTTGTTAATTCTACATTGGATAGACGTACAGGGGAAGGGTTGATATCTTACAAAACATGTTTTTCCCGTTTGAATGGTTTTACACTAGTCATTTTGGAGCCCTTTATAGCTTCCTGTTCGGTGTGAACCAAGGCTCCGTGTTGAAGACAGTACTAATACTACTATGACCTATAATGGTTTACTTTTACAAATTGTGACTTGGATGGAGAGTTGTCTCATTGGCACTCATACCACATCTTCTTATATTTATTAACCCCGCCGTATTTTTGCCTCTGTCCAAAATCAGGAGCCTCTGGCCTTTGTTAGTCTTGTGTGTTTTTTAATTAAAGTTAATTTATATGTTTTGGAGTTCAGTATGACGTCCATGTTCACTACACTAATAAACATTTTTGTTAAGGGGCCAGTTGAGACACGCTTCCTGGTTGGGGATTTTCTCGCTGTGTTGAAGACCCATTGTAGGTTGTACAATTTCGATTTATTGTATAGGATGTATTATATCAAAATTGTCACGCGACCAGTAAAAGGAAATTCCCGTGAAAGTGAAAGTAGTAAAAAATGAAATCTTACATTTTTATTTATTAAGTTTTAAACATGCACAGTAACATTAAAGTTAAATTTCTCGATTTTTTAAAATTATTTTGAAAACATTATCGATTGATAAATTTTTTAGTGGATTTGCAATTTCAACCTGCCTTAACATGCTTAAGTTAAACCACCTGTGACAACACACATTATATTTATGATTAAATGTTGCTTTGGGAAGATCCTAACTAATATCTTCAATTTGTACAAGAATAATAAAGACGTAAAAAGAAAATTAGAGAAAGTATTAAACCTAGTAATACGATCTATTACGGTAAGACATTTTAATGATATCGCTTTGTAGAAAAAAATACTCATAACAAATATTGGGCTGGTAATATAGTGTGAAAGACACGTCTTTTTTTGCGTTTACATAAAACATTTGATTTCGACATAATACTATTTTTTGTGCCAACAAAAGTGTATACTTTGAGGTGACCCATACAAATATCTGTCAGTTATGAAAGAAATTATAGATGTAAAAGGAACCAAGAGAGAAAATTAGACCTGGTAATTTGAACTATTAAGGTAAGACATTTTACTGTTATCGCTTTGCAGAAAAAAAAACTCATAACAAATATAGGGCTGATAATTTAGTGTGAAAGACGCACTGCGTGTACATAAAACTTCTCATTGGAGCTCGACACAAAACTATAGTATGGCCTATCAACGTTTGAGACCAATTAAAAACAAAACAGAAAGGAAACATATTATGTTTTTACGTACTAACATTGTACTATTCAATATTGGATATATTAAAACAAAATTATTTTCATTCACCTGTGTATAGAATAATTGTATTTTTGTTGTTTTTTCTGAAATTGTTTAACAATTCACAGCGATATAATACTGTTACTTTAATTATTCATCCCTTATTTTACTGATTTTGTATTTACATTGTCACGCGACCAGTAAAAGGAAATTCCCGTGAAAGTGAAAGTAGTAAAAAATGAAATCTTACATTTTTTTATTAAGTTTTAAACATGCGCAGTAACATTAAAGTTAAATTTCTCGATTTTTAAAAATTATTTTGAAAACATTATCGATTGATAATTTTTTTTAGTGGATTTGCAATTTGAACTTAACATGCTTAAGTAAAACCACCTGTGACAACACACATTATATTTATGGTTAAATGTTGCTTTGGGAAGGTCCTAACTAATATCTGCCAGTTGTACAAGAATAATAAAGACGTAAAAAGAAAATTGGAGAAAGTACTAAACCTAGTAATACGATCTATTACGGTAAGACATTTTAATGTAATCGCTTTGTAGAAAATAATACTCATAACAAATATTGGGCTGGCAATATATTGTGAAAGACACGTCTTTTTTTTTTGCGTTTACATAAAACATTTGATTTCGACATAACACTATTTTATGTGCCATCAACTTTAGATTTAAAAGACAATTTAAAACAATTATGAAAGGAAACATCTCGTGTTTTTTTCTATAGTAACACTGTATATCAAATCTACTTAACAACATCAATTCATAACTTCTCTAAAAGTAAAAGTCTCTATTCAATGTTGGATATATACAAATGGGCATTACTATCAAACATATATAATTAAATGCTGCTTTGAGGAGGTCAAAACATCGTATGTTTTTAAATAAAAATTCCAGTTAAAGTGAAAGTAGTAAAAACGTAAACCTAAATTCTTTTATTTGGTTTTGACCATGCACAGCTGCATTAGTATTAATTTTCACGATTGTTAAATACTATTTTGAAAACATGTCAAATTTATATTTGTTTTAGTGAATTTGCAATTTTAACCTACTACAACAAAAGTATATACTTTGAGGTGACCCATACAAATATCTGTCAGTTATGAAAGACAAATAGATGTAAAAGGAACCAAGAGAGAAAATTAAACCTGGTAATTTGAACTATTAAGGTAAGACATTTTACTTCACTTTGTAGAAAAAAAACTCATAACATATATAGGGCTGATAATTTAGTGTGAAAGACGCGTGTACATAAAACTTCTCATTGGAGCTCGACACAAAACTATAGTATGGCCCATCAACTTGAGACCAATTAAAAACAAAACAGAAAGGAAACATATTATGTTTTTACGTACTAAGATTGTACTATTCAATATTGGATATATTCAAACAAAATTATTTTCATTTACCTGTGTATAGAATAATTGCATTTTTGTTGTTTTTTTCTGAAATTGTTTAACATTTCACAGCGATATAATACTGTTACTTTAATTATTCATCCCTTATTTTACTGATTTTGTATTTACATTGTATCATAGATCAAATTTATTCGTTCAGTGTATGCTCACTTGTGTTAATATGTCTTTTGATTGAGTTAAGTCATTTCAATTGATATTTTATAGTGTGTCTTTCTATGTTGTGATGTTACACTATTGTTTCAGATAAGGGTGAAGGTTTGGTACCATTAAAACGTTTAAACCCACTGCAATTATTTGCACCTGTCCTAAGTCAGGAATCTGATGTTCAGTTGTCGTTTGTTGGTGTGGTTCATAAGTGTTTCTTGTTTCTCGTTTTTTATGTAGATTAGACCGTTGGTTTTCCCGTGATATACATGAATATGTACAATATAAAAATGTGAAGTACTAAATAAAAAACAAAAAAATAAAGATCTGTTTCCTTTTTTCTTTTTTTTTTTAAGTAAATATTTTTATTGCATATTTGCTGTTTTAACAATTTACTCGGATTACAGCGTTAGCCAGAGTATCCTTGTTATTAGTTACTGAATTACCAGGGTGAAAGCTCAGTAAAGTGTAATCAATTATTATGAGTAATACCATTTACATTCTTTTAAATTCGGAGTATACATATAACGTATAGAATCACATGGTATAAATCACTTGTTTGAGAACATCAATTTGCATCATATAATATGTTATTTGTTGATGTAAATAAAACAATTTAAAAAGCCAAATGCGGTTTAGAATGTTCACTAAACTGGTTTTGCTTTATATGCAGCAGTTTGCCGCAAAAGTGTAACCAACTTATTTATAATGCTTGGATACAATTATAAATCGACTGAATTTTAAGTGTTCCTTGCATTTTTTTCATTTGGATTCTAAGAAAACAATGGAGTTTATTGACCATGATATTTATGTATGAATATAACAGAAATTTGATATATGAGGAAGACAAGGGGAATACCTCTTTCATTTTTTTTCTATCAAAATTAGATGCTCGACATTCTAGAAACTACAAGTGCTAAATTTCATTAAAGTTTGAAATTCAAAATTTTATCACATTCTTTTTTTATTGTGACCAGGTGGAATAAGGCTTAGATGAATTGAATGCAGAACGTTTAGATACTTTATTAAATATAACAAAGAAGGCAACAACAGATCTGAAATATACAGATAATGACAAATAAATATAACTTTACAAAAAAATGCATATAAATAATAATGCAAAACTCAGTAAAATGACAACTCTGAATGTAAACAATTTGTTAATCAATGCTAATTAAAACTGTTCACTAAGTATATGTAAGAGAATGATAATCCCTTTCTTCATAATTAAGTACGAGCGCTAGCTAATACTTGTCATAAAGAAAGGGATTATCATTGTCTTACAAACTTAGAATAAAGTAAAGTGTTTAAGGCTCAAATGATCTCTTGATTGGTTGTATTCAAGAATTAGTTTCACTGTCAGTGCAATGCTTGTAACTAATGCATGACTTCCTTTTTATGCATTTCATTTATGGATTAGTTTTAGTGATGTTAGGACTTTCCTATAATTTTGGAAAATATGATAAATTGTGTTTTAAACATTAGATGACGCAATAGTTACAATGAAATGGTAAGAAATGTTTCCTGATTGTGAGTATGAATGTAAATCGTTTAATATTTTAGCAAGGAATTATCTTTTTGTTTATTTACAGTTAAAATCAATAAATTACAAATTTGAGTTACAACTAAATTTTATTTTACAGACAATGTTATAATCCAGGCCTTGAAATCAAATACTGTTTCATTACGTTAGGGAAATGTTCAAATACAATGTGAAAATTTCAATTTTTAATTTTTCTCAAACTATTATAATACTTCATATCCTAAACTATTTATTACTTTGTTATCAAAGGATCAACTATGAAATATTTTGATTTGTTGAAATATGTTTTAGAAAATGTTTGTTTCCTTGTTATGGATAATTGGATACAGGTAGATTTACGAGTTAAGGGTAATACATGGATAAGTGTATGACATACGTAAGGTGTAGTATACATGTCATTGAGTGGTCATGACGCATTTTGAACTGGAATGTTCTCTCAACTTGTTTCAATTTATCTCTAATAAATTACCTGCTGATATTAAAAATTTTCCCCTAGAGATTATAATCTTGCGCCGATATTTGTCAACCATCTGCTATTTAGATTTTGAATTGTATTGTTTCTTTGTAGACAGATTTATGATTTTTTAGAGATCCCTATACCAGTTGTGTTGCGAGGCATACAGTACTAGTATTCAAGTTTGTGTTTTTTTTCAGATTCTGACCAATTCTACCATTGTCATAAGTTTTAATGTCCTATAAATGTCTCCACTGCACCGTCTTGATTTCTGTTATAATATTTGTCACATTTATCACATATTCCTGGATCCTTGATAATTTTCAGATATTCATTACAATTGTTTAAAATACTTCTAAAAATGTGTGCATAATGCTGTTATTATGACTATTTCTTCGTGTAAATTATATGGTGTAATAAACTTGATTAAAATCCATTCGTTTTGTATTCTAATTCTTCTTCTCATGTTTCGATATGGAAGGAAGTAGTATGCAGTAAATGCAGAATTTAGAAAAAATAAACAAAATTTTGTGATATTCCAGGATTGTAACTTTAGGTAAAAATATAAGATGGATACACTGTTTATATAAATAATTACATGACATATAATTTTTGTCAACCAAACAAAAAATAAATGAATAATAAAATGATTAAAAAAAAATAGCTGTACACCACTAAACTAATATTCTGCATAAAAAAATCTATTTGGAAAGTGCAAATGAATGAAAAGTTCTGTCCATTTCGAGTACACATATGGAGTTTGCTTCTGTTCAAAAAGTAACAAATGTGGTATTTTTAGGATGGTCAGTTTAAATAGTGTCTTCCATCGACAGTCTGTTTGTTTATCTTGGATTACGTTTACTTCAACAACAGATCTGCTCACTCTCCTTTTTCTTTTGTACATTCATCTGTGCTTTTTGCTGTAAAATAACAAATGGCAAATTAATTTATTTGTAATGTTTTCATTTGATAACTTATTGAACACTAGCATCAAATGCATACACTTTTATATTGTGCACATAATATTGATTTAAAATTTCAGCCCGCAAAACATGAGTACTGCCCTTTAGTATTTTACCAAGATCTTTCGGGCGTTTGTAAACAATGACGACTTTGTCTGAAATGTAACCATTCACTACAACAACCTTTATCGGAAACTTCTAGACTTTTATCAAGGAGAATCAATAGTCATTCTCTCCTGAATTTTTTGAATATTGATTATAACTTATCTTATTAGTTATTATCACATATTGTACTTAGAGTCTCTAATATTTTGAAACTCATTATTTTGTTGAAGTCCTAATTATTAGGTAAGCAATTTTTTGAAGAAAAAAAAAATTTAAAATCAAATCAAATCATGTTATTGATGTAAAATCTAAACATTGGATTGTTACGAAGACAAAATGACAATATTTACAAACATACAATGTACAAGATTAACTGTTATCGTATTATATAAGTATATCATATATTTAGATAAACGAAGAGTTATACACTCAACATTTATGGTATGACAGTAGTTTTAAAAGAATGTTCAACATCGATTTTTAACACTAATTTATAAACGTGGTCGATTTATCAAATTTTTAATGGATTTGCAATTGGAACCTGCCTCAACATGCTCAACCACCTGCCTTATCAAAACGTTCATATAATAGAATGCTGCTTTGAGGAGAGCCAAGCAAATATCAACCAGTTGTGAAAAACATTATAAATGTAAATAGAAACCATGAGAAAATATTAGACTAGCTGATCTATTACTATTAAGGTAAGACACTTTGCTATAATCCCTTTCTAGAAAAAAATCATAACACATAGCCTATAGGGCAGGTCTTTTAATCAATTTTTTAAATGATATTCTAAAGTATGAAATGGCACCTGATTCTGTCAAAAATTCATCTTTTTTCATGTTTATTTCGAGAAAAACTTCCCATTTTTTTTAAATATTACAATGCATATATATCAATGTACTTGAAATTTCTGAAAAATTGGTTTCGTTTAACTTGAGGTTGCATTTAGGTAAATATAGACAATGCAATCTCCCATAGGAACTCCCTTTGCGGCTAAAAACTGTGACACTTTTATTATGAAGTTTCGTGAAAAATTATATCCTAGAATAGAAAGTTGATATGCACTACTATTTAATTCAAAGGTCAAAATATAGGGCTGTGCGGCATATTTTCAATATTTATATGTCCCGAACTTGTTAGAGTTTAAACTTATACTTAAATTTTGTACTACCCCAACCTTTACTTTTTGCCTGCTTCAGAATTCATTTTTCACCGCAATAGTATGTTTTTATACTGGTAACAGTCCCAAGTTATGTCTCTATGAGATGAAGCATAGAGATCATATCTGGGAACCAGTATATCAACAAATCAAATTATCTATGAATATTATATATCTCCCCAAAAGAGGCGTGGTTTGAGAAACAGCTGTATTTACAAAGTGCAACCTATACAAACATTTATTCAAATAAAAAACTCTCTAAAAACACTTTTTCTCACAACAATACTTATTTATCAGAATTATAGCCTTAAAGAAATCACTGTATATACTCTAAGTTTCCTTTTACAGTACATTTTATATCCCTACCCCTGTTTCA